CCCCCCCCCCCCCCCCACCCTCCCGAAGGCGCTGTGCGCATGACCTCGCGGTGGGCGGCTGCGAAGGCATCACGAGAGAGGGGACGATCGTTCGCTGCGACAAGTGCATGGCCTGGTACCACGTCTCCTGCGGCCAGATGGTGCGTGGGGACGGCATCTCGAGCGAGGAGGCCCGCGAGGAGACGCTGTGCCGCACCTGCGCCAGGATAGCGATAGGGGCCCCGCAGGGGAAGGACCCCACGGCCACCCTGCAGAAGCAGCTGTCCCTCGTCCGGGAGAAGCGCACCAAGATGCTGGAGTTCCTGGAGGAGGACGTGGAGACGGGGGCCCCGTGCGGAGTTTTCGACTTGCCGGTGGGTGGGGTGGTGGCTGAGAAATGCTTTGGCTGTTGAGAGAGTGGTTCGGCTAAGAACCGTGGCTCGACAATGTGTCGACTGAGAATGCTTGAGCTAATATGGATGTTTGGTTCCGCCAAGCAGTGTTTCGAGAATACTCTGGCTTGGAATGGGCCACGAACAACTGCATGTGTATCCTACCAAAAGTCGGAATTGGTTTTTGTGCCACCTGTGTTCCCGACTTGGCAGCAGTGAGGCGGCGCTGATTGGAGAAAAAAAACTTGCCAGGCGTAGTGTGCGTCGTCTGATGCATTTGCTGAGCGTAAGAATGCCATGGAGCGGGAAAGGTTTTCGTGCTTTGATGATGTGCATCGCACAGCGGCAGCCAGCCACAGGGGCTTCACCTTCTCTTCTACACGTTCATTTACATTTCTCACCACTTGCCTCTCCAAGGGAAACATGTTTCAGGTTCAACCATGTTCCAGACCACTCACTGTTTAGCGCCTTCCTATGGACGCCGACTAGCGTACGTTCGCAAGACGACCGTGGTGCAAGTGTCACACGAACTTACCCTTCCGTCCGCTGTCTCAACAGTTGAACATCCGGGACGTGAGCACGGCGGGTGGCGTAGGACCGAAAGATGGTAACGCCAATGGCCCTGACGCTGGGGGCAACAGCAATGGCGGCAACGGAGGCGTTGACAAGCGCGACAACAGGCCCCCGTGTGCCGCGGCGTCGTGCGGGCGAGAGTCTCGACAAGACTCCAAGTTTTGCTGCGACGCGTGCGGGGTTCTGCACGCGGAGGCTTTCTTGGCCAAGGCTATCCGTCACCACGTGGAAGAGTCGGCGGGAATAGACCGGGGCAGGCGTCTCCGCGAGACCAGGGAGCTGAAGACTCGAAAGCAGCAGGTGAGTGATGAGAGGGGGGAGGGGGGTTCTCCAAGTAAAGAAAACGCTGCTGCAAAATAACAACAGACGACACAAGAATGTTGTCCTCAAGATGGAAACAGCGAGCCTGAACAGACCGCCACGTTCCTAGAAACCAAGTTATTTGCGCGTGCACAGAACAGGGAGGGAGACGGGCTAACGGTGCGTGAAA